ACACACACACACACACACACTTCACACACCACACCAGGCCCCTCACCTAGAGGCAAGCTGAGCCATCCACTGACCAGGTATGGTGGCACACACCTGTGATCCCAGCACTGGGAAGGCTGAAAACAGGAAGAACAGGAGGATCACTATGAGTCCAAGCTGCATAGTGAGACCTTGCACCAAATACATTAAATAAATAAATACATACATACATAATCAAACAAACACTCACCTCATACATGGGGAAACTGAGGTGCAGGAATAAGCAAGAAACTTATCAGAAGGCACTCAGCTAGTTTCCAAGGGAAGCTAAAGAACTATTCTCCTGTTAACATCACCCCTGAGGGATGGAAGCAAGGCAGGGCTGGAGAAGATTTCAGGATTGAGAACTCCAGTTAAGGTGGGAAGGCAGCACCTCAGTAGCGCTATGCTGGATGTAACAGCCACAGCAGAAGATTCTGACCTGAGACACAAGTAGGTCCAACTGACTCAAGACTCCACCCAGCTTAACTCTTTTTCTCTCTCAATTTCTCTCTCTTATTTTCATTCTCTAACCTCATCTGCTACCTTTTTTTTTTATTTTACTGTCACCTGATCATACTACTCCACCAAAACCATGACATCATGGAAATAATACAAAGTTTAGGACCTACACAAGCATGATTTCAAATCCTGACCTGCTCTCTTTAGCTGTACAACTCAATACTTAACCCCAGAAAGTTTTGGTTTCCGCATCTTGGAAAAGTTACCACTTCCTCTTTGAAAATATACGCCATTCAATAACCCAATCAAACATTTTAAATAGTTAATGATCTTTTACCAAAACTGAAAAGAGTTGTGAACACTGGAGTGATAGAAAGCATGCATTCTTTGTGACTTCACTTCAGTCACCATCACTTCACAAATGAGGAAACTGAGGCACGGATGAGTCTTGCTCACAAAGCTAGCAAATGCAGGTATATTCCAAGACCAAACCTCATACTCTGTGCTGAACACAAGGAGGCAAATGAAATCTAGCCCTTCGTGGAACTTTCTTTCCAGAGGAAAGTGGAAATCTACGGGGCAGTTTAGGACAAACAAATTAATTCCTATTTCTTTATCTCAATCTCATAGCTAAAACGGAGAATTGCATAAAATAAAGCACTATCTGGGTACGATCTCCTTTCAATTCCTTCCCTTGTCAGTATTTTCTAATGCTTATTAGTGTTCCCCTAACTCCTAAAGGACACCCACGATAGCAGCACTTAGGTTTTTGGTTTGGGTTTTGTTGTATGTTGCTGGGGGTCAGGGTCTTGGACATGCTTGGCCAGCACTCCACTACTGAGCTCCAGCCCTTGCCCAGGAAGCACTTGCTTTGTGACAGACATGTTTGCAATCCCGTCTCTCTCTTCCACCTGCTCAGATCCAGCATTCCTGATTCTGTAGGTCAGTGACACCAGAGAATCTGCACTTTCAACAAGTTCCCTGGTGACGCTGATATACCAGGACATAACACCTGAGAACCACTGTCAGAATAACTCCACAAACAGGTAGCTTGTTCCTATTCTGAATATGAAGCTGACCCTCAGGAAGGCTGCAGGCCTCGCCAAAAGCTGTAGCACTCCCAAGTAACAGAAGCAGGACTGGACCCGGCTGTTTCGACTCCAGAGCCCGTGCAATTGCTTCAATGTCTGAGTCAGGTGTAACACTCTAGGATTTCCCTGCCGCATGTCTGTCGCCTTTATTTTCGAATTTCTGACCCTTAAAAGGACAGTCAAGGGCATGTGTATCTTCATTTCCAAGAAAAGAAGATGGTTCGAAAAAGCTGTTTCAAAAGTTCCTGTCCATTTGCCCAGTGCCTCCTCTTCTAGAAAACTGTACCATGGGAACAACTTGGAACATGGCCCAAAACACAGATATTAAGTATTTTAACAGAACAGTCGTAGCCTAAATATCCAGTACAAAGGGACAGGTTAAGTAAATTATGTGTATCCAAATGATGGAATACCATGAAGCTGTTAAAAATTTATTTAGAATTTTAATACCATGTTAAAGTACTTATCACATACAGCCATACTTTGGTACTCCTGGGTTTCAAACCCAGTACTGTCACACTGTTGTTGTGCTGAGACAACACAGTCCTTACTACATAGTCCAGGCTGACCCAAACTCATGGCAACCCTCCTGCCTCAGCCTCCCAAGTGCTGAGATTACAGGTGCACACCACCACATCCAGCTCCCCTGGTACATTTTAACAAGAAAAACTGTTTCAGCCCTCAGCACCTGCATCAGTCTCACAGTAGGGTTTTGGTTTGGTTTGGGTTTTGGTGGGACCGGGGATCAACTCAGGACCTTGTGCTTGCTGGGCAAGCACTTACGCCATTAAGCTAGCTCCCCAGCCCCTCACAGTAGTTCTTGAACAGTGCAGAAAACACAACATACTTGTAGTTAATGTCTTGTACTTCAGCACACTCTAAGCAGTAATCATGGGCCCCAAAAAGGTTCACAATGATACCATTAAGCCTAAAAGGTTAAAAAAAAAAAAAAAAAAAAGCCTAAAAGGTTTATATTAGCCCAGTAAAACATGGAAGTCCTGGGGAACTTCCATAAATTATATCTAATTACGTTTTCTTTTTTTTTTTCTTTTTTTTTCCACAGAACCAGGGATTGAACTCAGGCCCTTGTGCTTGCCAGGCAAGCGCTTATTCTACTGAGCTATCTCCCCAGCCCTCTAATTATGTTTTCTTATGAGAAAAATTCATTCCAGAACTCATGAGCTTCAGCACTCATCAGAGCCCGCCTAAATCTGTAAGCACTGAGGCACAACTGTAATAATCAGTAAAGCAGAGCACAGAGCTGCCTTTGATAAGCTCTCAAACTATTAAAAGTACTGAATAATCAGTGTCTGCCTCTAATCACCTTCTGTACTTGCCACTTTCTTCAACTTTCTTCAATGAGCTGCCTTCAACAGAAAAACCAGGTGCTTTCTCATTTTGGTTAAATACATCACATCATTTCAAGACTCTTCTATGGGGAGTCGATCGCTGAACAGTTGAGAAAATGAAACTGAATTTTAAAGCTAATATTTAATTCCAGTTGGTATTTTCCCAGATCCTAGGATGTACAATGCAAGTAAGAAACTAAGGGAAAAACCTGAAGGACAACCATTACTATAAATACTAAACTAAAAAGGGGGTAGAGAAATACGTACAAAAATGTAAGAGACTTAGTAAGATTTTGGTTAGTGAAATGGCTTTTTAAATCTCTTAATTTTTATTACATGCTCTACAATGAACGGCTATTATTTTTGTAATAAAAAAGTGTTCACTATCTTTCCAAAAGATAATAATCAAGCAAATTACAGTATATCTATTCAGTGGAAATTCAGCAGCTATTTAAAAAGTTATAGAAGATTTAGTAATATGAAAAAAAAAAAATACATAGTTAGCTAACCGTACTATAAAACAGTATGTTCAGAGTAATGCCAACGCTTTGTCTAAAAACAAGCAAAATGTCTGTGTAGACATAGAAAACACCCTGGTAGGAAATATACCAAAACATTAATAGTGTTTTACTCTAAATGATAGGATTACAGATACTCTAATTTTCTATTTTGGCTTCTGTGCTTTGGTCAGTTTTCTTCTACTGAGTACGATTTACCTTTCCAGTATGCCAAAAAAAAATTCTTTAAAAAAAAAAATCTAGGGTATGGGGAGATGGCTCAGTAGAATAAGCGCTTCCCTGGCAAGTGCAAGGGCCTGAGTTCAATCCCTGGTTCCACCAAAAAAAAAAAATCTAGATTTAACACTAAGTTACCTTGTTAAAGACACAGAGATGGAGACTAGAAACAGCACCTTATTAAAAGATCCTCCTCTAACAAGGTTCCCGGCTGCAGCCCTGCTCCAATGCTTGGGTCAATAAAACACTGGCCGTGCAGAGTATCACAACAGCAGTCTAGGCCAGTACCTGATCACTGAACTACATCCCTGGCTTCACCCGGAATCTTCAAACGAGATCCTGGGGAAGAAGAGGGTCTGAGGAAAACATTTAACTGCTTTACAGAGCTGTGAATCTGATGACAAGTAAATATAATCTACATTTGATTAGGGAATGCATGATTTCCGTCGCACGTAACACATGGAACAGAAAATTCTGTTCTCAGACCTGGCAGAGACCTCAGAACTCATCATAAGACAATTTCCTGGACAACGTTTTGTGGATGCCATGTAAATATTGACTGGAAACAATAACAGAAATGTCATGCTACAGAATCTTAAGTACACAGCTCAAAAGCTTGGCTTCCTGTTTATATAATTTTAGGTTACTTTTATTGCTAGCCAAAAGGTGATTCAGCATTCTGATTTAATCTAAGAATGTCTTTACTTTCCACATAACAAGAGACTATAAAGAATAGCTGAAAAGCCAGAGACACAAGAAGGAACAAAAATAAACACAGACATGTGTCTTCCAGACCAAACACAGTGAGAAATCTGTGCGACAAGATTTCAGTTCATTTTATCAGTTCAGTCTATTTCCAGATCACTGTCCTCACTGTGACAGGTGGCAGAATTACGCACAGATGTCAGCACCAAGACTTCCTTTTCTGGAAGTAATCCAAATTCCTGCAGAAAAGCTTCAAGGTCCACAGCAAAGAAATCTTCCCCCAGCTGGTCAGTGACACGAACAAAATTTCCAACCAATTCACCTCCCTTGTAGATCAGCAGGGCAGGAAGGGCATTCCGGGTAAACCGGCTGCTGGCCCCAATAACTGAGCTCTTTACTCTGCAGAATTTGACAGCTGGGTACTCTGCAGCAAGGCAGATCATGCAGCCATGCATGGCTTCTGTCCCCGGAATGCCATCTTCGTAAATATGGACCATGATGAGGGTGCTCTTCTGTTCTTTATCAATCATATCTAAAAACCCTTCTCCACTAGGGATTTCAAAAACCTGCCTGAATTGGGGTCCCTTGTGTAACTGCTGCCGCATCTCTTCCATCCTCTGCTTCCGATACTGCTGTAGAAACTCCTCGTCATCTTGGTCCTCATTCATCATGGCAAACTCCTTCAGGGTCATCTGCAAGGGGATCAGCATGTGAGGATAAAGGCACAATGAACACCATCACGAAGGCACCATGCCTTCGTGTGTTATATCTTGTGTTATATAAATGAGGCATATGCTAAGTTCTTTATGCATACTATCTTTTTTCTTTTTAAGAGATGAGGTCAGCAAGGGGAATCTAGTTCTGCAGCAAAACATTTACCTAATTCACACAAGGACCTGGATTCAATCCCTGGTACTGGACTGAAAACAAAAGAAAGAAAGAAAAAGAGGAGTTCTCACTGTATTGCCTAGATGTCCTAAACTCCTGAACTCAAGCAATCCTACCTTGATCCACAAATAGTTAGGGCTACAAGCATGCTCTGCCATCCTGGCTCTCTGGTCCTTATGATAACCCCATCAGCAATTGAGTTTTATAACCCCTACTTCATAAATGAAGTTCTAAGACTTCACATTATTTGTACAAGTTCACATAAGTAATAAATGTAATTCCATGACACCAACTACACTTTTAAAACCCAGGCTTTATTTATATGTTTTTTGTTGTTGTTGTTGGTTTTATTTATTTATGTTTTAATGAATTATATATAATTAAATGAACACTGATGCAATGTCTATTCAGGTTAAAGCAAAATACTGCCTGCAGCTTAGAAGCTATCTGTGTTCCTTCATAATCACAAGTATTTGTCACTCTTTCATGGCAAACTATGACGTTGGTTTTGTGTGACAATCTGGCTTTCACTCATACTTGCATCGTCTATTTAGCCTTGGTCTTGTTTAGACTATTTTGAACTTTATATGAAAGACAGCATAGCTAATGCGTTTTTTTGATTCTCATTATTCAGTACCATTATAATATTCATTCATATTGCTGCACAGCTTTAGTTTGCTCATTTTTATTGATGTACAGTATTCTGTTGCATGGATAAGAATTTATCTTTTGGACTGTTGATAGGCATGTGTTTTTCCAGGTATTTTGATATTATGAATAATACCTGTCATGGTTTAGGGTTTTGCAAAGGGAACAATACAATACAGGACATACTTTATAAAATTATTTTATAATGAATCACCCAAAGAATCATATACAAAGAGTGCAGGAAATCTGTCCACATACTAAAGACCAAAGAATCCAGCTGAAGGCCTAGATCCTAATATCCTGCATGAGTCCAGCTGAAAACCCAGCACTCATAACAACGCCTCCCACAAGTCCAACTGCAGGCCTAGAGCCCATGACAATGTCTCATGCAGGCCTGTTTCACAGATCTGCACTGGGAAGGCCCAAAGATCAGTGGTGGAAACTAGAAAGTCTATGCCAGCGGGATGAAGGATCTGTGCTAGCAGGCTGAGGGATCTGAACTGGAGCCAGGAAGCAACACTCAAGGTAAGAACCAAAGCTTTCCCAAAAGTACCACAGCCATTCTCAGCAACAGTGAGGTCCCCAGCTCCTCCAGCGATGAGGAAAGCCAATGCAACAAGCTTCTCCAAGAGTCTGAGCTATGCACCATCATCCCCTCCACAGCCAGGAAGTGATGCTCAAGATGAGGACCAGAGCTCCCCCAAAGTGAACTACAGCCTGAACCACAGTCATTCTCAACAACAAGGAGGGCCCAAGCTCCTCCTCTGATGAGAACAGCCAAATTCATCAGGAAAGCCAACATGACAAAGTCCTCCAGCAAAACAGCCCAAGAGAACCTGAAGCTCCCAACAGCTCCAACAGCTCCTCCAAACACCTTCCCTAACCTCCTCATCCAGCTCTTCTCCCGTGCTGCCTCTTGTGCTGCCTGCAACAATCCTCAAGTGGGCCCCCAACACCCAGCACCACATAGTTTAGTTCAGCTGAGTGTAACAAGTTCACTGCCAATTGGCAATCTACCACAACACTATTTTAAGTATTTCAAGCTTAGGGCGTAGTTTAGTGGTAGAGTGTTGGCCTAGCATGCACAAGGCCCTGAGTTCAATCCCCAATATCACAAAAACACAAAACATAAAACCCTATTTTAAGTATTTTTACACACTTCCTGGTAAAAACATACAGGTTGGGCTGGTGAGATGGCTCAGCGGTCTAAAGCACCTACTTAGAACAAGCTTAGCAAAGCACAGGGACCGAGGTTCAATCCCCCAGCACCACAAGCCAGCCAGCCCCGCCCCCTGGTGGGCTGAGCTGGCCCCCTACACACACACACACACTAAATAAAAAAAATTTAAAAAAAAAAATACAGGTTTTCCTATGATATGTGATGAGGAAGAAGATAGTTGGATCATAGATTTTGTACATGTTCACTAACACTAAGTAAAAAGTAAATTGTACTTCAAAGTGGGAAAAAAAAGCCAGGCTTTTAACTACAGTACTGTATGGCATTTCAATCCAGAAAAGTGCCACAAGATATCACTTCATTGGGCTATTTCTTTTTGCCTTGACAGAGTGCTGTTGTTAAGACAACAGGGGCCTATAATTCCAGCACTCTGGAGGCCGAAGCAGGAGAACCCCAAGTTCAACCACAGCCTGGAAAACTCAAGAGACTTAGTGAGATCCTGCCTTGAGACTAAAGAAAAAGAATGTGAAGGTCACCCCACTGATCTCCAGGGCTGATTTGGCTGGTCTGGCTGGCTAGACGGGTATCCCCTTTCTCCCTCACCACTCTATGTGAGTCCCTCCCAAAGCTGCATGCTCAGTCAAAACGAACTATTTCCTTAGTCAAGCTGCCAGACCCTCCAAATAAGTGCTCAAAATTTTAAAAAGGGGGAAGTCCAGGCACACTATTCTGGCTCTGGAACGAGGCATGGTGGCACATGCCTGTAATCCCAGTACTTGGGAGGTTAAGACAGGAGAATAGCTGAGAGTTCAAGATAGTCTGGGCTACAAAAGTAAGCACAAGGCCGACCTGAACCACACTGGGAGACCCTATCTCAAAAAATAAATAAATGAAAAATAAAAAAGTGGAGGAAGGGATAGCTCAGGGTTAAATCCCTGTATCAAAAAAAAAAAAAAAAAAGCGAGAATAAGCACCGGCCTGGCAAGCACAGGGGAAAAAAAAAAAAAAAGGGTATTAAGAAACATCAAAAAGGCAAACCAGATAGCTCAGCAAACTAAAGTGCTTGCTTAGGCAGACCCTAGGACCGGGGTTCCATCCCCAACATGCAGTGCTGGCCCCGCCCCTAGGGTGTGCTGAGATGGCAATGGAGACTGGGTATGGTGGTGCATGCCTGTAATCCCAGCGCTTGGGAGGCTGAAAACAGGAGGATCACTATGAGTCTGATCTATGTAGTGAGACCCTGTAGACCCTGTACTAAATACATAAAAAATAAAAACAGATTTTAAAAAATTACAAGAAACATCAAAAAGAACACTCAAAATCTTTGTCCTGCATACAACACATTCATGGTCATACAAAAGCTGACCTTTTTATTACCAGCTACATGCTGGAATAGTTTTGCATTCAAGCAGCATCTGTGGATGTATTCATTAAGCTATAATTCCCTTTATTTCGTAGTTAATGTTCATAACAATTTACAATTTCATAAAACTACATATAGGCCAGAGAGATAGCTTAGGGGCATAAGCACCTGTTAACAAGCACAAGTTCCTGAGTTTGATCCCCACTACCAAAAATATTAAAAATAAAATTACATCTAAATATGTTATACTTTGTTTAATTATTCCCCAATATTCTATTCTGGTCTTTCTTCTCTTCTTTTTTTTTTTTTTTTTTTTTTTTTTGTACTTTAGGGAAGGGTCTACAGGATGTTCAGGGTCTCACTACTACATCAGACTCTTAGTGATCCACCTGTTTACAGCCTCCCAAGAGCTGGGATTACAGGCACACACCACCACAATGAGTCTCAATTGCTGCCCAGTTTCAATTGCTGTCTTAGTGCACCCCACGGGGCAGGGGCCAACACAGCAGGCCCCGGGATTGAACCCCCAGCCCCTGCACCTGCTTTCAGGCACTTTAATCTGCTGAGCTATTTGGCTGGCCCTTTCTGGTCTCTTTCCTAAGTGTAAGGAAATACTGTAAGCAGCAGGCAAACAGCCCTATGACCAGTTTAATTAACAAGGTTTTCCTTCTCTTGCCAGGGAAACTTGAATACAAAGGTACCTCTGCTCCTGTAATAAACCCTCACTCCACCTGATCACGTACATATTAGAGGGTGGTGAGTGGTGAGCTGGAGATCACACTACATTAGAACAGTTATTGTTACTGTCATAACCATTCTGAGTTCACTTTTATTTAGTACCAATTTTCTTCCCCTTGCACGGTTTTCTCTTGGTCTATCAGATGGCTCTTTCTTTTTTTTTTTTTAAACATTTTCTCTTTTTTTATCTTTATTTTTACTTATGTGTGTGTGTGTGGCCAGCTCAGCCCACCAGGGGACAGGACTGGCTGGCATGTGGTGCTGGGGGATTGAACCGTGGTCCTTGTGCTTTGCTAAGCTTGTTCTAAGTAGGTGCTTTAGACCACTGAGCCATCTCACCAGCCCAGATGGCTCTTTCTAACCTGCTACCATCTTTGCTTTAGTTTCAAGTGCTGAAATCATCACCCCACTAAAGATGAATGACTCCTGGCTTATGGGTCTATCCACTGCCCAATCTTGGCTGGTATTCTAGCTTTAGGCCGTACCTAACCAATCCACAGCACCCCACGGCCAGAAGGCCAGAAGGCCAGAAGAGTGCTTTTCGTTCTGAGGAAGCAGAGAAGAAAGTCAGGGAACTGATTCTAAATATCTTCCAGAGTATTTGCTTCTAATATACCTCCTTAAACTCACAGAACATAAACATATGAGTTAGAATCTTAGCTCCTCCCCTTATGGCTTGAATTACTCTCAAAACGTCACTTTCTCTAAACACTGCTCTTATTATCTATAGAATAAGGATAACTCCCTCAGAGGGTTATTGCTCACCTAAAACAAGACATTAATAAAAGACAGGAAGCTAACATTCACTTCACTCAGCAACTTCTCAGGGCCAGTCAATGTGATAAGGCATTTTATCCACAGAGTGCTAGGTGAGCAACATAATGACTTCATTTAACAAAATAAAAACTGGCCTCAGGAAGAGATTTTCCCATAGTCACTAGTGGCAGAACTGACACTCAAACCCGGGTGTGTCTGATTTACAACACAGCTCTCTGCTTTCCTGTACACTATAGTTTTTTTTGGAAACTGAATCCAACAACCTGCACCTCCTGAATCAGTGCGTCCAGTCCTAGCAGCCAGGGTGGCTTCCGAGGAAAGCCTGACTGCTGCTAATTACCTTCCCACTAATCTTCTCCTGGAGGTCCTTCTGTTTCTGTTGCTCCTCCTCTTCATCCAGGTGGGACCTGCAGGTCATAGACAGCTTCTTGATCAGCCTTTCCATCTCCCGGCACTGCTCTTCCCTCTGTTCTGTCTCCAACTGCTTGAAGCGGCGCCAGTCATTGATCACACCTTTTGGACCTGTGTGAGGTGATCGTGTACATGACCAAGAATAGGCAAGAATAATGAACCACTCCATAGAAAAGTCAGAGCTCTCATCTGTCTAAAGCTTGCTCTACCTGTGCCACAGTTAACAGAGAGGCTCCCAGTCCTCTGCCACCAGGCAAAGTAGTCTACACATGATAAGGTACACGACAGCACACTATGTAATAATTAAAGGACTAACCTAGTCCAACATTAGGAAATGGGTTACTTATGATTCATCAAATCAAAGAATAAAGTAACATTTAGAAAGAATGAGGCAGGGCCGGGGCGATAGTTCCACAGGTCTAAGCGCCTGCCTGCCTGCCAAGTGCAAGGACCCAGGTTCAATTCCCAGTACCACATGCTGTGACAGCTCCGGACCCCAGGTGTGCCATGCCCTGAAAACCAGGTATGGTAATGCACACCTGTAATCCCAGCTCTGGAAGGCTGAGACAAGATGATCACTATGAGTCCAAGCTGCATAGTGGGACCCTGTACCTAACAAGTAAATAAAAAATTTAAAAAAAAAAAGAACGAGACAGTTGTTTCCTGCCATGAAAGATATTATAAATATATTATGGTTCTTTGAGAATTTTTTATGCAATACCTAAAATGGCAAGAATTTTTTTATCTTATACTCTGAGTAACTAAAGATAATAATACACAATGTATTAGCTGTTGTTATTCTATTTTGTTATGAAATTTTATTTTACTTTTTTTCATTCAAAAAAAATGACAAACTGGGCACACACTTACAGTCCCAGCTCTTTGTGAAGCTGAGGCAGGATGACTACCTGAGCTCAGGTCAGCCTGTACAACATAAAGAGACCTCATCTCTTTTTTTTTTTTTTTTAATTTTTTTTTTTTTTATTTTTTTTTTTTTTTTTGGCAGAACCGGGGATTGAACTCAGGTCCTTGCGCTTGCCAGGGAATGACTTATTCCACTGAGTCATCTCCCTGGCCCCTGAACTCATCTCTTTAAAAAAAAAAAAAAAAGGCCTACTTGGTATCCATTAGGCTAGCAAGAATCAAAATGTCTGATAACTGAGTATAAGGGAAAGTATATGTTGAAATATTACACTGCTGATTAAACTATCAATCAGTACCACCTCCATTTATAATACAAACAATATTAAAATGTACAAGGTGGGTTGGAGATGTAGCTCAGGGCTTACCCAACATGCACACGACCCTGGGATCAATCCCTAGTACCACCCCAGAAAAGTAAAATGTGTCATTTCTAGGAATTCATACTACCAATATATTCATACTACTGTTTGTAAGATATCAAATAACTATTAATTTGAGATTCAGGCTATAAACCCAGGCCAATCTTTCACTGCTATGATATTTATCTGCTTTGTGTAGTAAAAAGGCTAGAAGTGCACAAAAATGACAACCTCAGGTTATCTCAGAAAGTGGGAGTAAAGTTAGAGAAAGCAGGAGACTTCCAACTGAAAAACACTTAATACCTATTTTTAAAGCCTGTTCGCAAAGCTCAGAGCTTTTCAGTACCTGTATTAATTGAGATGCCTTCGCCTGCCAACTCAGTCTCTGCAGGAATGGAACTGCTGGCTGGAGCACCCCTGCCTCTGGCCTTGTCTTCGTGGTCACTGTCCTCATCTTCACTGCTACTGTAGTAGTACTGCAGTTTCTCCCCCAGCAACTTGTCATCCAGGGTTGTCATGATACCTGTGAGAAAACAACACATCAGGCTTTTTGCTGGTTTGAACAAGGAATTAAGATAGGAATCTAAATCATAGAGGGCTCCTGTGCTGAGACCCTACAACTTACAGGAACCTAAAAGTAACTTTTGTAAGAAATTCAACAAGGGCCAGCCAGATGGCTCAGCAGACTAAAGCACCTGCTTCTGCAGAGCACAGCGCCCAGGGTTGGATCCCCAGCATGCTGTTAAGGCCCTGCCGCCCCTGGGTGCACTGAGGCTGACTTGGTGTGGTGGCTTGGGCCTGTAATCCCAGCGCTTGGGAGGCCAAAAACAGGAAAATCACTATGAGTCCGATCTATGTAGTGAGATCCTGTACACCCTGTCCTAAATTCATTTTTTAAAAAAAGAATTTCAACAAATCCCTACCATGATCCTGTGCGAAAATGTTTATCATGTTCTTTACATAAAAGGTGAAACCAAAGGTCACATAAGGGAAGTATAGTGTTTTATTTTGTTGCCAAGCTTTCTAGCAAATGCTAGACCTGGTAACAGATTCCCAGATATTCCTGATTCCAGGAGCCTGATTGGGGAATTATTATCTTCTGAATAATGCATTCTGTACTAGCACACTGACTAGGAGAAAGATGCTTCAATGACTGGTGGTTTTATCTCCGTTTATGGTTAGTTTTCCTACTAAGACTACAAGGTAACTGAAAAGCTGTACAAGAATTCCCTAGAAAAACTTGAAAAGGGACATCAAGAGTTTTTTTTTGTGTGTGTGTGTGTGTGTCCAGCTCAGCCCACCAGGGGGCGGGGCTGGCTGGCATGTGGGGCTGGGGGATTGAACCGCGGTCCCTATGCTTTGCTAAGCTTGTTCTAAGTAGGTGCTTTAGACCACTGAGCCATCTCACCAGCCCCCACATCAAGAGTTTTAAGCTGGGCCTGGGACACACAGTTCAGTGGCAGAGCACCCATGTGGTATGAACAATGCCACAGGCTTCACCCCCAGTGCTCCCCCCCACACAGACACAGACACAGACACAGACACAGACATAGACATAGACACACACACACACACACACACACACACACACACACGATAGCTAAGCCTATACCACTTTCACCTGCTTCACTAAGGATCTAGATGGTCTCTGAAATCCTATCAATTCCTTCTGGTGAAAACAAGGGCCATGGCCATTTCATTGTTGTAATAAGAAGCAAATGCTTAATAAGAGAACCTGGTCAGCATCGGTTTCCGCATCAGAAAGAGGCTCATTTTGAGGGGGAAAGTGCAGTTTAGTCGCTTATAGGCTCGAGGATCCAGCAGAGAGAGGGGGAGGGGGAGAAGAGGGAGGGGGAGAAGGGGTGGGGAAGGGGAGCAGGGGCAGAAGGGGGAGGAGGAGGAGGAATAGAAGAGAAAAATCCTCTAGTATCTCCTCCCCTCTAAGTATTTCCCAACACTGCAATTCCTTCATGAAAAACACATCACAAGTCCTATGACATGCCCCCCTGGGCAGGAGACCTTAAAATCAGAGAGCTCCAATTAATCCCCAGCACGACGCCTCTGCACAATCTGCTACACCCAGACAGAGGCAGCCTAGATCAGCAACCTAATCCGGTGATCCCCACCATCATCATGACCACCCTGGCCCCGCACCAACAGTCAAAAAGGAGAGCACGATGTAGAGGCAACTTTAAAGGGGTGAAAGGTGCAGGATTCAGGGCAAGGCAGAACGCCTTTAAGGAACACGGAAGTGCCACGGGTGGGATAAAGAGAGAAAGACTAGGCGCGCTGGGCGAGGGCGGGGCAGGGGTGAGCGGCGGGGCCGGAGAGGAGCGCCGCAGGGCGGGGCCCACGGGAAGCGCGCGGGGGGCGGGGCTGGGAGGGGGAGCTCGCAGAGGCGGCGCCGCGGGAGGAGGACCCAGGGGCGTCCAGGTCCTTAGCAAGCTCCACGGGCTGCCCCGAGCGAGTAGGGGCCAGCGGGGAGAGAGTCGCAGAAAGCAGGGTAAAGACGGCCCGAAGATAAGGCAGTTGTACCCAGGCTCACCAACCAGCCTTCACCCTAGGCCGTGCTGCCGCTTCTCCTGGCTAATCCCAAGGAAGTTACTCGGCCTGGCTGAGACCGGATCCCTTTGGACTAGTAGCTCCGGCCACCAGAAGGAAGAGAGAAAAAAAAAAGTGAGGCGGCGCCTTGCGCTCTAAGGAAAATAGCTCTCCGAGTCCCGACTGCGCGGACCAATGAGGTGGCTTCCAGCGTCATGGCGGATGTACGCTGCCCAATTAGGAGAAGGCTTTCGCTGCGGAGAGGGGACATGCTACGTACGGGTCCTACTTTAGAACAAATTACTTCAACACGGTTTTTGAATTGATTCCTAGCAGCCAATGCTGAACTACAGTACTTTCATTTACTTCCTTTCAAAGTTTCTAAAAACATTCAAAATGTGTTCTTTTGCTTTGCTGTTCTAGGGATTGAATCCAGGGCCTTCACACTGTGTGTACCCCCAGTCTGTTTTTCTTTTTCTCTTTATCTGTCTGCCAGCCCACCCACCCGCCTGCCTGAGGGTTGTCTCTCAGAAAGCAGCACAGTCCTGTTACCAGTTTCAGTTCAGCCTCAGAGAAATCAGATGAGTGGTGCTGTGCAGACTTCTGAAGTACAGAAATTGTGAAATAATAAATTTGTGTTGGCTAAATTCTAAATATGCTTATTCGTTAGGACAACGAGAAAACTAATACTGTGTGGATGAGTTGAGAAAAAAAAAAATCATGAATCTCGTTAGCTTGGTGCTTTTTTTTTCATCGCCATGGTAAGAATAATGCTCTTTCTGGTTCTCTGTTTTCCAAGGTAAAAACTAGAAGTCTTTGTTCCAAGTCTTCCTTGTTTTCTGAGATAGTGTTTCACTATGTGGCTCAGGCTGGTCTCAGATCCCTGGGCAAGTGGTCTATCTATACTTGTAGACTAGTAAGACTCGAGGTTAATAAGATTGTATGATCTTAAGGATATTTATATTTAGAGGTAATTATTCTATGTTCTAAAACTTATAAATAATTTTTGTCTGGGTGGTTAAGAATTCATACTCTTTCCAGCACTATTGTAATACTAACATTCCTTGGTGCTGTTTTGAATATATTCAAGTTCCTGTTCCAATGTTGTGGAGAAACATATTCAGGAATATTTCTGTTAGGTATAGTGTGTCTTGCATCTTTCAGGAGTATGTCTGTGTACATGAGTTAGTTATCTGACAATACCCAATAAAGATACTCACTTGATCATCTTAGAATTCTAGAATTATTATAATTAAGTTTCTGCTAAATGAGAGTACCATGTATAATTTATAGTTTTAAATGGCTCAGTAGAATAAGCGCTTCCCTGGCAAGCACAATGGCCTGAGTTCAATCCCCAGCTCCACAAAAAAAAAAAAAAAAAAAAAGTGTTTTGGGGCTGGAGAGATAGCTCAGTAGAATAAGGGCTTGCCTGGCAAGCACAAGAGCCTGAGTTCAATCCCCAGTTCTGCCAAAAAAATAAATAAAAATAAAAAATAAAATAAAAGTGTTTTGTATATACTATATACTATAAGGTTTTTGTTTGTCAGTAGAGCATGTGAAAACTATTTGCTAGTGAAAAAAACATAATTGATGAACTGTTTTTGATTAGTGAAGTGTTAAGCTTTCAGCAAGGGAATCTCTTTTTTTTAATCCTAGGAATCAAACCCAACCATGCTGCATCACTACAGGTATATCACCAGTCCTTATTTTTTGTCTTGTGACAGATCTTAATAGCCCAGTTAGGCATTGAACTTGTGACAAAGAGGGTTAGGATTTCGGAGACTGAGAATAAAGACTGAAGAATAATTGGATGGATGAATTTCAAGGCAGCCCAACCTTCAGGCTGCATTGTGGTTCCATCTTGTTACTTTTAGTAAGATCTACTAAGAGAAACAGCAAAAGCCCATTTAACAAGTTTTCAGGTTTTTTCATATTTCCCATTGAGATAGAACAGAGGAGACCTTGGTTCCTAAAAAGATTAGCATTAAAAAGAAGTCATAAACTTATATAGCAAGACAACAGGAAAGATAGCTTGAGGGCAGATGAGGACGCAGCAAGAACCCAAACATTGCAGGCTCCAAATTACAAAAATGTCTTTGAGAAGGGAGCCCTAGGTCATGTTTGAGAACAACTGGCTAGGGAATTTGTTGCCTGCAATTTGATTTCTGGTGCTCAGCCAGCCTGGTATTTGGAGGTTTCTGAAGCCATGATTCAAGGGAGCCAACCTGAAGCTCAAGGAGGTAGCAGATCTTGATGTCATCTGTGTGATGGTTATTTTACAGGTTTGTAGGATGCCTGAGTTATGTAGTTAAGGAGGCTTCCACCTAAATTTTAGAAAACCTAAAGGCCAAAGCAGCATGCCCTTGAAAAAGCAGTGCATGAAGATATGGAAATGAAGCCAAAAGCACAGTAGAGACCCCAGGAATCTGGAGAAGCCAAGAACATGACACATCTGAGGAGGTTAACAAGCCAGCCCAAGAGAAAAGCTCTGAGGGCTCTAACCATAGGCAATGACAAAGCCCTTTGGATTTCATATTACCAAAACTTGCCCTGGGTGCTGGACATGGAACTATGAGATTTAGTATTTGCCCTGATGGGTTGGTCTTATTTTGGCTGCACTAATTTCTGTTCCCTTATTCCTTCCTTTTGGAATGGGAATGTTTACCTGAAGTCATTGTACATCAGTAGTGTTTGACGTTTTTATTTTTTTTCTTTTTCTTTTCCTTTTTTTTTTTTCCCATTGTAACGTTTTTATAGGATCTTATTGCTAAGAGTCTGCTTAAACCTCGGAGAATTTAGACTTGGATTTTTCCACAGTGATGAAACCATTAGCACTTTGGCAACTCTCAGTGGTGAATTGAGTGCATTTTGCATAAAGTGATATGCATGAATCTTGGAAGCCAGGGGCATAAAATGGTTTATATCTAGATATCCAACTATTATAGTTGATTGCTGTTAAGAGATGGGACCAAATCAGAAGAGGAAAGACATTGTGGGTGTGCCCTGGAAGGTTATATTTCCTTTCCTTGCTCCTCCCTAGGCTCTGCGCTTCCTGTCTACCATCTGTGAGCAGCTCTCCTCTTCCATGTCCTTTTGCAGTGCCAAGCTGTCTTGGAGTCAGGTGACCATGGACTGAAACTTTTATAATCCATGAGCCAAAAATAAACCTCTTCTCCTACCTGGGTGTTAGGTATTTTGTCCTAGCAATGTACAAAGTACATTAAGCATCTTTAATATAGGATTTAACTAAAATTTTCTTCTGGAGTTTTTTTTTTTTTTTTTTTTGTTTTTTTGTTTTTTGCAGAACCAGGGATTGAACTCAGGCCCTTTTACTTGTCAGGCAAGCGCTTATTCAACTGAGCTAGCTCCCTGGCCCTTAATTAAATTTTTCTGATA